TATATATATATATTTATATATATTGATATATAATATCAAGCACTCAATCCATAAGTTATGATTAAATGAGCAGCACCAGCAGTTCTTAACAGGACGCTAAGAGTGTGTTTGTTAATAGTCACAAACCAAACAGTTCGTGAACAGGGAGCACTGTTCGAATGTTCGGATATTCAGAATGGCTCACCCCTCAAAGCTGCAGAGCGTAGAGAAAAGTTACTTTTAAGCCAATCAATAAAACATTTTGCTAGCTAAATAGCAAATTTTCTCTTTAAATTCTGTAAACGTTAGCTGTAGCCTACACTTTCTTATTTATTTCATAGGCACATGTTTCATCATCATCATCCTCACTGATACGTAAAGAGGCAACACATTTTTTAAATATACATGTCAAAAGGAAAATGTATTTGTGTAGAAATAGAATGCTTGGTTTCTTTGAAAAGTAACATTATCATTTTAGCGTAGAGCTTCAGATCGGATAAACAAACAGAACCTAGGAAAAAGTCTCCCTGACGGCCATCTCTACATGCTCTGGGACAAACAGTAAGGAAGGTTTGTTCAGTGGGCAAGTGAGGTAATGTCAGCTACTGCAGGACATACAATAATAACCCAAAACATCATCATTATTTTCTCTGCAGCTCAGTACAGAAAGTATAAGAGTTTTTGCAAAGTAAAAGATTTCGTAAGCTGACAGTGTTTTATGGAATACGCAAGATTGTCAGTATTTAAAATTGTTGCCATTATTGGAGAATATATACCATAACATACATTTTAAAGTACAGAATTACATTTCATGGAAATGTATAAAAAGATCCAGGTTCCAGCCCTAAAACAACTGTACTCTTTTTCGATCTTCTGTAACTATACTATACATCCATACATCCTAATTCCTTTACACTCTGACCCAGGTGAGTACTACTTCAGGTATCTTTCTCATGCTCTAAAATGTAGGAATGGAAATGTGAGACATGCAGATACAGGGAGAGGAACATGACACACCAACATCAGCCCTTAACAAAACCACAGACAAGAGGTTTTTGAACTTTTTCACAAACACCAAAGAACTGTCGTAAACAGTGGCATGTCCGGCCCAGTTCTAATGGCTGCACATATGTAAAACATCAAGTAGTTTTTTTCGCATAAAACAGCATTTCTGCATTGTTGAGATTCCATATATGTTTATAAAATGTTCAAGGTGACACTATAGTTATTAATTAACTGACATTTCAGTAAAAAGTAATGTCTGAGGTTTATTCAACCATGCAAAACTAACAAGGAATGTACTGATAGCTACATTCATCTATGCAAACATGAAATCTGTTGCAGTTGTTTTCATACGGTGTGATAACTCCTTATTGAGTATTCATAGGATAATTAATAAGAACACCTGATTCATGTATTAGAAACATTTGACACAAAAAATATCTGTATTTCGTTTTTCTACTCAGCTCAAGTACTAACTTCACTTCCAAAACAACTAACCCAGTTTTAATACATGGCATACCAACCCAATTTGTGTTCTTCAGATGTCCCTCCTCAATATTGGTACACCTTGCAACCAGGGTGCAACTAAATTAGTACAAATTCCAGAACCCAAATGCAAAAAGATTTGGTTATAATAGAGATAAACATGTTGTCCGTTCTGTTGGTGAGTTCACACCGGACGAAAAGCCAATGTTTTGCGCGTCAATGCAAAGAAACAGATTGTTGCTGTCTGCACTGGCGTACTGACGTTGTTGAATTAGAAAACAAAACATCAGCCTTTGGCTTTGCGCGTCCTGTTTGAATGACTCCAGTAAACACAACTGAGTGCCATGGTGAAACTCGTGTGAGCAGCGCGATGCAAAGCTTCGCATCACGTCCACCTTAGGGTTAGGGTTATGTGCATAAAGCATTTCCACAGCACAATACTTCCAGCATTTATCAATCTGCTGTTCTCAGTTTCTTCTTTCAACAAATACTGCCCTCATCAACTAATTAAATGCAGGTAGTTGTACTTTTTTAAAATCAAAGCCTTCCAGTAGCTTAAAGGGTATACTGCATACCCCTTTAAATAGGCGTTTGGTGTGAAGCACTCAAAGTAAGTGTTTGGTTTCGATATTAGTTTAACAATGAAAAAAAAAATATCACTCGTCACCGGCTTGGTCTTAAATATCAGGATACATGTATTTATTATCGTTGCAAGAATGGAAGTAGTCATCACACATAGGGCTGCGTGGGACAAATAGTTCCCAGATCAGTGTCCTTCACATGCTTATATACAAGAGAGTGTTACACAGTCACAAGTTGCAGAACACAGGTTCAAACCAGTATTCTGGCCTTAGTTTAGATTAGCTAAGGCCCACGTAAGCAATAAACATGACAGTCATATGTCTATCTCCGTAGAGACTGAATCATCATGTTAATCACATAGCTATCATATGCCTAAAACAGTCCTGATGCTCTTCTAGGTAATCATACATCCGGGTCCCAATCAGAATAATAAAAGAATGTGTCCCACAATATTCATGAAACAAAAAAGAAGAGACATTTCACAAATGTAATCCAACATTTTATAAACACTGACCAAAACATTATTTAATGCAACTCACACCCATTGTATCTAAAGAGAAACTGGAAGCAGCAGTGTGACAACTTTAAAATGAACTGTCGAAATGAGTGCTGTTGAAATGCTTCGTACATAACGAAAGGATTACTGAATTTATGTGACCCAATATAGTGTTTGTTATTCAGATGCCTTTCAGTGTTTCTTTGTTAAACACAGCTTCTATTTAGGATACTTTTTATTGGTTTGTACTAGCCAAACATAGCAGATGTTTTAATTGAAGAATGATTATAGGCTAGTTTAACTACCCACCAGTAAACTGTCCACACACACATTCACCAGAGTCTGGTTCACTTTGAGTCTCTCCAGCCAAAACACACACAGTTCCTCTTACCTCTGCTGCAGTCAAATCTTTTAAGAAGTTTTGCTGCTTCCTTTCACATTATTCTTTTAAAGTAGCAAAAATAAAACAAGGAGCATGTGCAATTGGTACATATTCTTCTAATGTAGCACAGCAGGCTTGCTATTCCAGTTATACTGTACCAAAAGGAAATTCTATAGATAAATGGGTTTCAAATTATCATAATGACAGTGCTTTTAAATATAGCATTTTAATAAAGTGTTGGTCTTACATCTTTTTTCACTAAATGCATATCTTCATATTTGGGGATATCAATTACAATTAAAAAACTTAATGTGCTTAAATATTTATACCACAGATTACATCAAGCATTAGAAAAAAGCAAGCACCATTTGCTTTTCAGCGCTTCTTTGCCCAAATGTTGTAGCCGCGCTGCTGATTATATTAATTGCAGAGTATAATTTCAGGTATTTTTGCACGTTTTGGCAAAGCTGCATCTTAGCTCTGTGGGCTTCTGCCTACTTATGGCAGGAGGGTCCTTTTGGACTCTATAGGGCCCTTTGTTCCCCCAGTGGCAAAACTCATCTGTCTTGGCTTAAAAAAACGATTGTTTTCATAATTTATGTAAAAAAAAGAAGTTTATATGGCTTTTAATCTTTGTAAAGTGTAACTCAAATGATTCATCTAAGTGCTTGACAGGTTGCTCTGTAACTCCTGTAAATGTCTGACATCATGTTGCATATCCAATCCTGTAAGTAGCTGTAGACTTCAAAAATCAAATGCTGTATTTGTTCAGCCCGACAACCTCAACATGTTCAATGATCCTGTGAAAAGGAGAGCAGGGTTGTCTGTTATACTAATTGCTAATAGGCATACTGCTATGTATTGCATTCAACTCAAGCAATATAAACACATATATGATCTGTGTACAATGTCATTCTCTGTAAATGTTATTCATACTGTATTGTGACTAACAATTCAAAACACTGTGAAAATAAAGCAGTGCCTGGAAAAAGTCAAATCAATGTTGTGAGACTTGTGTTGTATGGGCCCACGGTTGCTCAGGAGGTAGATGGTCTTACTACAATTGGAAAATCGGTTGTTCCATCCCCTGCAGAAACACGTCGATATGTCCTTGGGCAAGCCACTTAACCCCAATTGGCTCCCAACAGTGTGTGAGTGTGTGTGAATGTTAGTCTCCCTGAGCAGGTGGACCTTTGTATGGCAGCCTCTATCACTGTATGAATGTGTGTGAATGTTGTGAATGTTGTGAATGCTGACTTGTAAATGTAAAAGCATTTAGAGGGGTAGCAGAAAAGAGCCATATACTGTACATGTTGTCCATATTCTATTTAAGTAGAAAAGACCAAGCCACATATTGTCTTTTATATAAGACTGTTGATTGGAAAAGGGACCCTTTTCTTTGCCTTGCATGCGAAA